GGTCAGGGGAGAGCGTCCTCATTTGCTGCCTCTTAATTACATCTGATCCTGCCCTAATTCCTCCTAAAACCAGCCCTGAGATCCTTCAGGTGGCTGCTGCGGAGAGGTGCCCACCAGCCAGGGTGACGGGCGAGCCGGGCACGGGTGACAGCCCCGGGCCGAGCGGTGCCTCCGGGAGGGACGTGAGGGGCCAGCGGCGCTGCGTGGTGATGGAGGAAGCGCCATGTGCACCACCGTCCTGCTCCTCGGCACGCTGGTCATGATGCTGCGGCGCCGCTTCTTCAACAAAGTCGAACCGTATGTCCTCTCCTGTCCCCCTCCCGTCCCCTCGGGGCCCCAGGGCTGGGGACGGGAGGGTGAGGGGTGGCCCTGGGGTGGAGGATCTCGCTACTCAGCGTAAGACCTATACTTGGAGATATTTGGTTTCCTTCTGGTTTCAGTCCTCTGGGTGACACAGGAGACATTCCCTTGTGCTGGGCAGAGGGGAGCCTTCTCCGATGTGCTGTCACCTCCTCCCCGTTGCACCAGTGCGAGCAAGGAGGAAATGCAGGATTAGTCCCCTGTCTTTCTGGTGCAAAGGGACAGGGCTGAACTCCTGGGATGCTTTTACAGGCACCGATCAAGGTGTTTCCCAAATGGAGCAGTCCAGCACCCTGCTATCCATCCAGGCAAGCAGCCTGGCTGCCTGTTTGTCTTCATGCCTCGGCTGGGGAGGAGACTGAGCAGTGCTCTCAGCCGTGGGGACATCACCAGATTGCCAATGACACCCCAGCAGCATGCAGTTGGCAAACCCTCACCTGGCGTAAAATAGCCCCGGGGAGGTCCCACACCATCCCTGGGGTGCTGGGAGTTTGGGTGAGGGTCTGGGTACAGGAGGTGCTTGAGAGCATCAGCTAAGTGTCAGCTCTCACAGGAGCCAGCAGCCACCACCCTGCAGCCGTGGCTCTGTTGCGCTGTGCTCTGTGCCCACGCACACGCTCACACACACTCACACATGCTCACACACGCTCACACATGCTCACACACACTCACACATGCTCACACACACTCACACACACTCACACACGCTCACACACGTCCTGGCTCCGAGGTGACGGCAGGGAGCAGATGGGAAGGGACTTGCTGCAGTCCCGCAGCAGGGCAATGACAAAGCTGCGACCGGAGCGCAGGGTCAGCTCCTGCTCGGTGCATCCCCGCCACGCCA